CATGAATGTTCCTATGCAAGGCCTGGCTTTCAGGAAGCAACAAGTGAAAGAACAACTAGAACAAACATGTCCACCATAACCCAAAGACATAATTAGGAATAGGGCACATAAATACTATATCCTCACACAGCAACTAGCTACCTTAAAACAGAGCATGGTGGACATGAAACTGTCATGGAGCTGGAAGAAGGTTCCTGTGCCTTCCTAAGACTGGTGTCACTGCAGTCTAGAGAAGGCATGGGGGCAGCTGCTTTCTTCATCCCATAAACAGGAGGGGTGGGAAGGAGTAGCCCCAGCTGCTCCCTGCCTGCTTTTCACACTGGAGTTCCCAATGAGAGAATCAGGCTGGGGCTTTGCTATGCTGCTTTATTTGCTCAGCTCCCACTGTCTCCTGCCTGCTTCCCCTTGCCATGGAACCTGAGTGCTCCCCACGCCGCCCCTTGCACTCCTCTGGGTCAGCCCAGGGCAGTGCAAGGAGTGGGGCTATTCTTCTGTGGGGAAGAGTGGCCAATTAATTGGTGGGCTGGGGGGCATTTTCTTGGAGCTGCAAGCCTCCTGAGGATATCTGTAGCAGCTGCTGCTTTTCAGCAGCCTCTTGACAGCCTGCCCACTACCAGGTATGGGAAAGGGCAGGCTGCCAAATAATGGGCTCCCCTTTGGGGAAGGGGTAGTCCAGACCTAAAGTGCCTCCTGGCTGAAGAGTTTGCCTGTGAAGTTCTCCAGCCATGGAGCTTGGTTAACATCTGTATGGTCCAACTCCTTGGCTATTTTTCTACCAGCAGGAATTGATTCCAGTAAGAGAGAATGTCTGTACATAGCCACAGTCAATTAATGTAGTTTCTTATCCATCGCACTCAATCTCATATACTCAATTTTTCTTCTTCTCACATGCATACACTACAATTAGTTATCTACAACTGGTTGGTCATCCATATTCTGTTAATCACTCGCTGTTTACCACTGGAAAGGAACAAAGAGACAGAAGAATCAAGAGAAGCACGGGCAGTTGATTTTCAGTGGAGTAAAAGAAAGGGCCCAGAGGCTTGAAATCCACTGGGCAGGACTTAGGGACTCGGCTGATCAGCAGGGAAACCACACTATTGCTAAGCAGGGGAAAATGGAGATGTCTTGTTTACCTGATTACTATAGTACTCTTAAATTAAAGGAGAGACAGATGTTTTAGGTCCACCATGCTGTGCTTTAACTGGTTGCTGGTTGATGTGTGAGGATTTAGCATTTATCTGCCCTATTCCTAATTATGTCTTTGGGTTATTGTGGGAACATTTGGTCTATTTGTTCTTTCACTTGCTGCTTCCTGCAAGCCAGGCCTTGCCTAGACCTGAGTAGGAATACTCCTGAAACAGCATTGTACATTTTGTAGCATTTGACTTTGTCTGGCTAAAACCTGGATCTTGCATGTGGATCACGCAGGATCCACACAAGCAAAACTGTATGTCCATGCGTGATTTCATTAGGGCTGTGACTGGTCATATGTTTTTGCCTGCACAAATCTGACTGCAAAATATATAGCTTAATTAATTACTGAGTACAGTATAGACTATATATAATAAAGCATACAGTGGGCTAATTAACTTGGCTTCTGGAGCCTTACCTTCTGCATTCTTCATCTTTTTTATGATACTAACTACTGGAATAGCAGCATTTTTGCATTTGATTCTAAATCACTTATAAGAAAAATGTTGATAATGTTAAACTCAAAGCCCAACATCAAAAGGGATTTTCAACATTTGGATAAAATACAACCAGGTGTGAATAAAATATCATATTGCAGTAGTAAGTGTTATTAAAACCATTAAAGTACTTTGAATCCTATGTTCTATTTATTTTCAAAGCTGACATCTGTAAATGTATATAGGTAGAATTCTTGTAAATTTAAAACAGAGTATTAGGATTTGCGTCATCTGAAGCAGCATTGCATTTTTGTTGAATCTGTGACCAAAATGTTAACAACTAAATGCTTAGTAAAATGTGAAGTAAGAAAAAAAACTTGCTAAAAATTGGTATTTATGGAAACTCAGTACAGATGTGCACCCCATAGTACATTTGGTGTTTAGGCTCAATACTTGTTTTAAGGCATGTTTGGTATTTACCCTCTTTTACGTTTTGAACAATTGCTTTTATACTGGAATTACTGCATTTTCATTGGATTGTTTTGATCAACCTGACAGTGTAAATTTGCAGCAGTCATAGGCACTCCTGCTGTTTTTCCTAAAGAATATATGAGAAGCTAGATTATCAGTTTTTGTCCATTAAATATATTTCTGAAATGAATGCCATACATATTTTAAATGAATGCCAAATGTATTTTCTAAGAGTGAATTCCATTGAAAACCAAGGCAGCCAATTTATTCTGTGCATAATAATGATATTAATTTTTATGGTGTGTATAAGTTACATTTTGATTAGTTTTTTGTATGATTAAAAATTTGCAAAGCCTTTATGGCCCCCAGGAGCCTACCTGTAATAAACAGCTCTCACCTTCTAAACCATAAAACAGGTTTGCACTGCAGTACTTGAACGTTAGAGCTAATTGCCTTGCTACATCAAAGGGAGTACCAGAAGGCTGAGAAAAATCACAGAAGGGGGATGGGGGATAGGGGGCAGCTTCACCTCTAAAGGTTATGTGTTTGTGGCTTGGTGGAGCCCTGTAAAGTTATGGCCTCAGAACTGCTGTTTGCGATTAAGTTGATGGGGAAAGTCTATCCTGCAATCTCTCCCCGCTGCTGACACAGAGTCTTTGTTCGCATTCAGATTTCTCAAACTGTTGCCAGGGTCAGGCTGAGGTCAGACACCATGATGATGTATAGGAGAACATGTCTGGGAATTTCTCTCACACTTAAAACACATACCAGAAAAACAGGAGAGCACCCTGCAAAAATTGTCTGATGAGACCCAGATGATACTGTAGCTTTTCTTGTAGTACCTTCATAATTTTCTTCCTCTTTTCCTGACACACACACAATGTTTTATTAATGTGTGCCATGATAGCCCTTACAATTTTATGTCCCCTCAAGATAAGGACACTCAGTAGCACTTTGACACTTCATTTTCCAGCCCAGGGGGATTGGGCCAGTAAATCTAGTGAAAGAAGGAATGCGTCCATTCCCAAGGATGAGTCAAAAAGGAATTGCCATTGGCTGTTTCAGGCCATGGTGCCTGACACTAGATATGAGTCTCATGCGTGTGCACTTGGCATTAACACAGCCCAATCCAGTCATGATCACAGACACACAGCATCCCAAACTGTGCTCCCCTGCCACCCTAACAAATACTACCTTGTTTCCAGCTGTGACTAAGATGCCTACCATGTTTGATTAGCAATCATCACTGAGAGCAGAGGGGAGTGGGGAGAGGCGAAAACAGCCAGAAGTGGTTCCCCCTCCTCCTCATTTTGATGGTAATATTTTTATGTGCATTTATTGTAAAAAGATGGGACTGCCTTTCGCAGTATTGTTTGAAAAACAAATGGATATTGATGCTTAGCTTTCCTTATCTATTGGCATAAGGGAGTCAGTGTTTTACATTTTGGCTGGTACTTTTTAAATTCAGAGTTGCAGCTTTTTCTCTTGTTCTCTTGTAATTTTACTAAAGGTTTTCCATAGAGTTGAGAAGCCGGTAAGCTCACCACTGTCATTCTCAGGGTTGTTTGCCTAAGTGTACAGTTTCAGTGCATGGTTGGCAAGTAAGGCACTAAGTAGCAATTTTTTTGTGCTCAGCTGCTACATATGACAGAGGATATTTCATTCTGCTGTCAGAATGTTATTAATAAAACATGGGGTGCGGAGAGGGCCACTATTTCCCCTTTCAATCACTATAGCATTTACAATGAAAATTTTATGCAGTGTGTAATTTTCAGTTAATGCTTGACACTTAAAATGTCGGTAGCTGCATTTTGTATGGTTCCTGAAGGGTTAATTGTATCATGTTCCCTGCATAAAAGCTTTGCTTATCAAAAGTGAATAGAAGAGTGTATGCAAATGCTTGTCTGTGACCTTTTGCCTTTCCAGGGTTAATTTATATGGTCATTAAAGATTTTATGAAATTGAGCAGCCTGGTGCTTTGAATCCCATTTTACCTTCACCTCCTAATTTATATAATTCCTACCTGAACTGGGAAATATGATTTTTATTTTTTTGTACTGCAATGAAAACAGCATGGTTTGCTGTAGGGAGTTGCAAGTCTGGTTATCGGGCATTACTCAGATTGCTAAAAATTCATTAAAATGTGACATCAGCACAGTGAGAGACAAATGATCACAGGATGAAAAGGAACAGTGGGCCTTTCATGGATTAGTGCTACACAGCCCCAGCATAGAAGCTAACCACATAAACAGATTAATCCACCAGTAGCAGCATAACTAAGATTTACAGAATAATTAAATAGGGTTGAGTTACTGTGAAGATTTCCATGTAATCTAGCTGGTGTGAACACATAAGTGAGGTGCGGGTAATGCCGCTTCCTTAGGAGCAATATACCAAATTGGAGCATTTACCTTGAATAGCTCCCCCTGGAGACAAAATCTGAGACTTCTCCAACAAAGCCAAAGGTTTATACCTAATACAGTACACAATTAGCAGGATACAGTTATACTAATAGGATTTATATTCTAGTTTCTTTGGGGGGGGAGGGACTTTAAAACACATTTTTATATGTGCTTTGTTTTGTTCAATCTGTCTTGCATGTTCATTTTAAAACTCAAATCACTCCTAGCCAGCAAGTACTAATGAGGTGCTTTAGATGTGTTACATTCATGAGTATTGTATGCTCTGATAAAGATATGTTTATAATTTCTGAGTAGAATCTGAAATATAACAGATTATTCATAACTAATATCAAATTTCTTTAACTACCCATTCTTCCCCCACCCCTCTTTCTTCACCTCCCCACCACTGTCCTTTAGTGCTGTTCTTATTAAAAACTGTATTTTTAATTAATGTTAAATGGTCACTAAGTTAGATCTTCTCTGTGCTTATCCACAGAAGAACAAGGTGAAGATACAGAAGGGTCTACTAAAAGTATATCAGTGGCTGTTGCTGATGATAAAGACACAAGTGAGAGAGACAATAGTGAAGGCAAGAAAGCTAGTAAAGACTCTGGTAAGATGCTAGAATTTTGTCCCCCCACCCTCCCCACTTACCCCTCTTTTTTCTACTTATTAAATGCACTTTCATTTGAAGCTGTCTGGACATTCCCACTACTATTCATTGCATGTGCGTTTTGCATGTGATTTCTATCAGTAGCCTCCCATTGACCTATTTTTAATCATAACCATCTGACAGGATAGATGCGGATAAGTTGAAGAATATTACAGGACGACCAGTGAGATTATTTTTTAATCAAATCAGTTTGTGTGCTTGTAATTTTTTAAGCGCCTTTCATTAATCTTAGCTGTACTTGTGATTCCTCTGATGGCATATTAATTTTTCATAAGCGTAGGATTAGGTACCACTTGAATTTTTTTCCTGCAATCAAATTTTGCCCCCCTTACAGCCCTAAGAATGAAGGGTTATATATATTTTGTTACTACTGTCTGATGACTCTCATTCAAGAATCTGCCCTCTTCCTGGGCATTTATTTGAGGTATTTAGAAAAAAATACACAAAATCCAGTGAAAAAGTTTGCAGATGATTCAGCCTAAGAAAGAGGAAATATCATTGAAAACGGATTATGGGTTGGGTAATTTTGATCTCCTGGAATAGACAAAGCCCAGTAATGAAAGCTACTGTCTTTGAAAACAAAACTCCTATGTCATGACATTTACTTGTGCACAAACAAACCTAGAGCCAGCATCTGGTGTAGATACCCAAGGCTTTTTCTGTGTTTGATTTGGCAAATATGTGACTTCATCCATGCTTTTTATGTATGAGATGGAAATCTATGGTCGCAATGAATATTACATTGGCTACTTTTGCTGCACGCTATACCTAGTTACATTATGTTGGATTCATTGAAGCAGAAGAAGTGCTGAAACAGGTTGAAGCCTATTAGTTTCAGGTAGTCATATATCTTTTCCTTGTATCCCAATGACAGCAGCATATAAAGGAGCTTGTATTCTCCATAAAGACATTTAGTTGTACAGGAAATGTAATTTTACATACAAAGTTACTTAAACTAGAATTAGTCCATATTGGTAATTCAGTCTTTACATATTAAAAAAATGGAAATTTATTTAAAAAATATGGATTGCTTTTTCTCTGCCAAATTAATTCAAAAGACTGTGTTAGGGATTAAAGTGAGGTTTAAATTTGCTTGTTGACGTGCTGAGGTCAATATTACAGTTTCAGAATCTCAGCAGCACTTCAGTTTTATTTTTGAAATCAAGGAACTACAGAAAGTCTGATGATGACAAACATAGTGTTGAGAAAGACACTATGTTATGGTTTAAAATATATATCCCCCTTGGCTGGCTCACTGACTTGGAAGGAGCTGTCTGCAGTACTATAAAGTCATGCTCCAAAGCTGGCTTGGGTCTTTCTGGGTTGTCTAATCACTGGGTCATCCTGGACGTGTTTCAAGGGAAAGATGACAGCCACTTGACGCAAACATTTCCTATCATGCTCTCCACCTAGGGGGCACTGGAATCCACTTCAGAGGATTTATCTGCCTGTTCTCTGTAAAACAAACTCATTCATAGTTGTTTAGGAAAGAGGGAGGTATTAAAGGTCCAGCGGAGAAAATGATGGAATCTAGGAGAAATAGCGTGGGGGGAATTCTCAAGATTCCATCAGGATTAGTCTATCATCTGGGCCGAGTTTAATTAGGGCAAACCTATGTCCAGATGCCTGCTGGGTGCACTACAAAAAAACAGCATAATTGTTGTGCACTCCCATGTCAGCAATTACGCAGATATCTTGGCAATAAGTTCCATATAAAAACAAATGCTGAAATATAAATGATTGCTCTGATGCTTTACAGCAAGCACAGAAAATAGTTTATAGTGTAAGCACATGAGTTGACCTTTTAGGAACTTAAAAAAAAATTTAAATTAATTCTGCATATGTAACACTCAAGCCATCATCTTAATTCTCACTTAGCTGACAAGTATTTCTAATGACTGCATAACTGCTTATGTATAATTGAATGTTAATTTGGGTTTTTTTTCATGAATTGAGCATTGAAAGTCTTGCCAAAGAATCTCAGGAAAACCAATAAATTAATCACAATCTTAACAAGTTAGACAGGAAAGTGGTGTGACCCCTCTTTAGCATAGAATCTATTAGACAAGAAAGGATTAACATGCATTTAGTAACAGTATGTTTGTGTAAGCTGTTGTGCTGTATTGCTTACCTTATCTCAAGGACTGGAGCTTTCAAAATGAGACTTGGCAATATGCAAGTTATATTTGTTGAATATTCATTCAGAATAGAAAAGCCTACTAATGCCTCATTTATATTGTCATTTAAATCTAGTGCCACTTTAGATTAATTATAATCCAAATTACAGCTCTATGCAATGCAAGAATTAATATGGAATTTATCCAGATTAATATATTTGCATTGAAAATGTAATATGTCTCTGCCATGGCTAAGGGGAGCACTTTTTAATAAGGTAGTAAACATGAGGAAGGATGGAAATTAACCTTCATTATTGCAATGAAAATTATCCTTTCATTCTGCTCTAATTAGAAAGAATACTGTACCAGTAATTATAATTTTAGAATTATTTTGGAGCTGAATAACATCATTTGATATGTCAGAAGTCTTAAATTATGCAATATTTATCAAATACATTGATTCATAAATAACAAATCACTATTTTTATTATATTTTAGGGATTTAATTTCATGAGTGAACATTTTATTGGACTTCCCCTGTTTGTTATTATTAACATAAACATTTTTATTTTTATGTTAGGATTTTGGAATTATGAAATAGGTGATTGGATCTGAATTGCAGTAAATGTCATTTTTGTATTAGCAATCTTACTTGTGTTAAATAATTCTGTAAGTGACAGGTAGTCATTGACTAGTCTATTTCATTGTGCTTATTTATAATTAAGCTTAGTTTTTGAACTAAAAACATTGAAATTACATTATTCATCTAAAATAATGCTGTGCATTTTACACCATAAAATGAATTATGACTATTTAATTAGCCAGAGAACAACAAGTAGTGTGTGGCTAGAACAAAAAGTGTATATTTAAAACACAAATAACAACAAGGTTTAGTTTTTTTTTTAAAAACTACATATTGAATACAATGCCAATGGACTATCCAGTTTTACACACAAGAAAATATTGCAGGT